CTATACGTTTTATTTTCTTCCTTTTATTTGCTGGTTATGCGCTAACCAATCGATTTGTTTTCTCGTTCTGTTTATATATATCATTGATGGTGTGACTAAAGTGCAGTAGTACCGAAGAAACCATAGGAACGAGCCAATTCGGATCTGTTCATACAGTTTTTTGTAGAGTTTTTCACGGCTGATCTTCTGAAAAAAAAATCAAGAGTCTATCATTTACCTGTGCAGAAATATTTGCAAAATAAAACTATGTTTTTAGCACACCTGCTATTCCACAACCTTGTTTCACGTTTTCCTCAGAACATGGGTTCGACGGAGCATCTCCAACGCCATTCCATCGCGGTACTATATAAAGTCCAACATTTTTTTTTTGTTTGGAAGCTCGTGTTTGGGGCTAGCCTACCTCGTGGCCCTTTTTTTTAAAATAAGTCCTTTTATTATTATATAAGAAGCCATCTCTATAGACAAAGCACTATTTTTTAGGGGTTTTTTGAGTCATTGAACTTGTCATCCCTTTCCTTCGCTTAAAAAGTATGAATTTAAAAAAAAGAGCCACGAGGTAGGCTAGCCCTAGAGACAAGCGTTCAAACAAAAAAAGAATTATATATATATATAATGAGAGTCCACAGAGGATTCTTGGAGATGAGATGAGCTATTTTTTGAACCTTGTTTGGTTCATATCTCTGTCAAACGGCAGGGTATCGAGCTGAAAATTTTACTACAGTCTCCTCATTTCAGCCCATTTGAACGTTCCTGGGCTGAGATCGATTTTTGAGGGGGGGGGGGGGGCTTAACAGCTGATAGTTTTCTTATATGATTATGCATGATTCAATCTTACGAAGGAGGTACCGCAACCGTTTAAAAACTTTTGACTTCATGTTTTGACGATAAGTAGGTTTCAGTGAGACTAAGAAAACCCTAAAAGAGTTTGTGCCCATGGTTCTTCCTTCCTTAAATACAACCATTATGTGTGTCAAAAAACAGGCTTTTTATCGGCTTTTTGAAAAAATTGTTTCCTGTAGATCTAAAAATTTTGGACTTTAAACATATTCAAGAAAATCGATTACGGGTACTGATATATCTAGATTTCAATTATCAATTAGATTAAACTACGATGAACTGAAGATTTAATAGCAAAGCACCAAATTTGAAACAATTTCTTTTATATATGAGAACCAAAAAAAAAATGATATAATATACAAGTTAAGCTATAAGTGTAGAGAAAGTGAAACCTTATTTAATGGTAGTGGTACTCTGTATAGAAATAATGAAAGCATAATACGTTCAGACACCACGAACAACAAATAAAACCAGGAGTTAAACATCTTTCTTCGTTGCATAGAGACGATTCGAAAGAGAAGCAAGCTTCAGCAATATTGTAAAAATGCCCAGGATGAGTATTCGTGTATCCACTCGTGAACCAACTGTATTGTATGAGTTTACGAAAGCGAGGTGCTGCCACTTGAGAATATGCGAGTGATATCAGTTTAATTAAACTATTTCGATCAGATATTTGAATATTCAATTGGTCGAGTGCAATTCGATTCTATATACGACGAATAATACCTATAATTTGTCTGTTGAAATAAATATCGAGCGGTTGTATCTTGTCCATCGTCTTGTCGGGTATTTGTAATCGTTTCTAACGTTTCACTTTCGCATAGATTTTATCGTCGTTTTGTCCTCGCCATAAATCAGAAAGAAGTAGACATTTTTTAGACATATTCGGAATGAGAACATGATCACATCAATACTCAACATGCGAACTAGTGAATTTTCCAGACTTCGAACAAGTAACAATAATATCATCAGCTCGAAACATTCGGGATTGAATGTCTAAAATTGAGCAAAGATTAATAAAATTTAAGAGGTTGAGAATTTAAAATTCACCCTCACTTATTCGACCATTCGGTTTCTGAACACATAAGAAAACAGGTCCAATGACCTGTCCATCTATATTAACAATAGATTGAACAGTATAGGAATGAGAATTTGCATTTTAAGATGTCACTGAACCTGTTGTCACCTTTTCTCCTTTAAACGTAAATGTTCGATTGCTTCGAAATTCCTTCACCAAATTAACTTGATCTGTATTAAAGATTTCATATGAAGAATAATTTTTCATCTCTGTTCGGACTACATTAACAAATTCTTCAGTTGATGCATTAATTTCGTCAACATTTTTTAACGAACGTCTACTAACAACTTTGGAAACTTTCCGAGAAATAATTCGATATTTTTGCTTGAAATTAGTAAGTCAATGTTTGGAAGCAGAAAATTCGTACATCGATAGTTGTCTAGCTTTCATTATACCCCAGCATATCAGATCCGCACCATGAATACAAAGAGATTGTTTGCAAGCATCTTTACACAGGCAGAATACAAACAAATTGATCTATGCTGGTTTTTGTCTCACTGATCCACCAAGACAAACGTACTCTCGAAAGCGAGAAATATCTTGTTGATGATGAATGCGACGAAATCGATGAGTGACGACCTTCCAACTATGTGTTCGTTTTCCATTCTTGTCAGTTTCATCATAATAGTTCAGCACCTTCTTCATATAAACGAGGGAAAATTCTTCTCCTGATTGTCCATCACTTTCTGTTGTTGCTTCTTGAGACTCTGAATGTGAGTCGCTTTCTTCCATTGCTTCTGCAGATTCTTCGTGCTCATGGCATTCATTTGCTTCAAATTCATCCTCTGATGAATCCGTCTCATCAAGTGTAGATTCATCATGAATTTCAAATGATGAAGCTGATAAAAAATTTTGAATGATTTCGAAGAGATACTCGATGAGTTGTTGGACTTGTTTATCTCTTGTAGGTCGGTAAATATCATTCCTTAAGACACGTTCAGATAGCATAGCTATAATATCAGTTGCTTCGATCATCTTTTTAGCTCAGTAATAGTTAGTGATACAAGATTATATATATATATACATCAAACACTGGGCACCAACATCTGTGTAGCAGACATGTGGTCGACAAGTATAAACGGCTGATTTTCTTTTTCTTTTTTGTTCTGTCTTCTTCGTGAGAGTTTAACTTTACATGTCCTATACAATTAAAACTTGATGTTTTTGGTTCCAAGAAAAGAATTAAACTGAAATTAATTCTACAACCAGATATTTATGGGACTAGCTATGAAAAAAATTAACGCTAAAGTCATTATGATTCCAGAAAACGATTTTTTCAAAAAGCCGATAAAAAGCCTGGTTTTTTGACATACATAATGGTTGTATCTCGGGAAGGAAGAACCATGGGCACAAACCCTTTTAGGATTTTCTTAGTCTCACTGGAACCTACTTATATCCAAAAGATGGAGTCAAAAGCTTTTAAACAGTTGGGGTACCTTCCTCGTAAGTTCTATGGAGAATATTATTCGAAAAAGAAAAAATCTTCAATAATTTCTCATTTTATTTATAATATTAATATTTTTATCATAAACTCATCTATCATCACTTCGATTGAGACGTTGAACATAAGTCAAATTAATTTCGTATTTTAAGATTATCTAATTATATAATGATGCCATTAGCAATCACAACAATGTATTTTAGAAAGAAATGACTATTGCATAATATCATGTCTAGAGATATATTCTTTTTCATGAGCTTATATCTTAACAAATAAATTTGAATTAGACTAAAATAATGATAAAGAAAGATAGTTTGAATGAAAGCTTCAGCTTTCTTTTGTTAAATTTTTAATTGATTGAATAATTTCATACATAAAATTAGTGTATTCTAAATCATTAGTTCTACACATTGCTTACAAAAAAAAACGACATTTTATCCAATTTTGAATGTTTTGGTTGAAACTCTATCAAATTAAATATCTTACAGTTTTATTAATATATTTGTACGTTGTAAAAATATTTACAATAACAATGTGTCCTAACATAATTAATAGAGTATTAAAGCCATATTTGAATTTCTTCAGACGAACATCGTAATGGATATGATCGATTAAGTGACCATTCATACAGTTGTCGTCGAATTGTAGGTGGAAAACAGGGTGTACTAGAAGAAGTCGACTTAAAACTTATACAAAGTGAAACAAGTTGTTGTAAATGATCAACAAGAAAATGGACAAGATTAACAATATATTTCGAAGATTCATTCTGATCAACAACAGTATGCATTAATTTCCTTTGCAATCCACGGAATGACTTAAAGATAGCGAACGAAACATCTTTCAAATTGGGCAATTGATTAGTTAGAAGCGTGCAAAAATCTTTCACATTAGACATTGCCAATGACCAATCGATTAGATGAAGTGATTGTATCTAATAAATAGAAATTAATCTTTTAAAGAAAAGCATTCTTCATTTCATCAGAAATCAGGGTATCTTGTATAAGGCAATATCTTCAATTGTCAGAAACACAATTCGACTGCATCTTTTGACTAGAAGTAGACCTCTAGACAACTGATCAGACAAAAAACATTGGAGTATATGCCTTGGTAACTAACAATTATAATCGTTGGAAAATTTTCATCTGAAATTTTGCCTATAGGTAGAACTAATCGTCATTAGAATGTCTTCATAATTTTAACATCAGCAAATGTATCCTTCTTAAGATATTGACACTTCAGATAAATCCAGCTATTACATTCTTCCTTTAGTATATGGTTGTATTCTGAAAATTTCTTCTTTTGAAAAAGATATCTACCATTTCGTTGAAAATATCACACTATTCTATTAAGGATTAGATCTGTTCATAGAGAAATTCTCAAGTTTAAATTCTTTATTTCGATTCCTTGCTATAGATAAAGGTTGACGATAGAGGCTGTAAGTCTTCATCATATGGTATTATAAGGTATATTCGGAATGGTAGGTGATTCATAAAACATGGAAGGCAGGTTTGTTGCAGGTACTTATTCGGGCACTTTTGAAGCTCTTAATAATTGGTATTGATTTTGAGAAAATGGCTCTGATTCTGAATCATTTAGTGGAGATCGAAGGGACACAAAGCCCCTAATGTAGGTCACTTTGGGGCTTATCTGGCGTGTCACCAAAGTAAGACAAAAGATTGACCGATCAAGCTGAAATTTATAGGAGTGACTACTGACTATGAGCGCTACGATTGCTGAAAGTTTCATGAAAAACTGATGATATTTTCTATGGGGGCCGATAACAACGCAAAACGTTCTCCGTCCTTTATGATGTTTGAGTGAATTCTCTATTATTTATGAATATTATTCATTTTATTATTTGAAGGAAAATGTTGACCTTTAAAACAAAATCAATAATCATGAGTTCTGAAGGTAATCCTTTGGCAACCTAAAGTTTCCTTAAATGAATTATATTCTGGGTGAACACATTAAAACAATGAGATTGAAAGTAGATCGTCATCAACAACCTCATCGCAATCATTACTCAATACTATTCATTTTATGCGTCATTTGTGCGTAGAGCAGATATCATGGCAACCAACTTTTTATTAGTAGACTTATTTATTATCTATGGAAGCAATGATTAAATTTCAAAATAACTGGTTAACTGATATTGTTATGCGTTAGAAAACAGATAGATCATAACCTAGTAGATAGACATATCAAAAGCAATTATATTGATGATGATTTCAGTAGTATTTCAATACATTAGTAATCAGCAATGAATTTCAAAAAATGATTTGCTTAGGTCAGTCCAAAAGTAGTTGCGGAGGTATAATAATCCTTCAAAAGAGGGTTCGATAATTTTTTTTCTATACAGTCTGATAGAGAAAAGAAAGCTCTATTTTTCTATGCTATTTGATCATACTTTAACTAATATGATGATAATAAATTTTCCATAAGACTTTTTTCTTTAACATGTCTGCTCGTTGTAAGTTATACATCGCAGTTTTCATTTCCTTGTTAGCTGTATTAACAATCAAAATATGCCATAAGATGCAGCGTGAAAAGCTCTATAATTTCCATAAGACCATTTATTTTCTAGTTGCACATTTTGTTCTTAAAATAGACTAAATTTTCAGCAACCAAATTTCAACTATGAAAAAGATAATGTTTTTGATACACGACAAATTCATTTTTTGTTGTTGATCATTTTATCACCTAATATGCTTTATCAAAAGAAAAACAAAATACATCAGAAGATGCAGCGTGAAAAGCTCAACAATCTACATAGTAAATTTTATTCAAATTGTTTTGAAAGAAAGGAAAATTCTATACGATCAGTTTTTACAACGGCCAAAGTTCGATCACTCAAAACTTTGTCCATTTTGAAAAAAAGAGTGCAACTAGAAAATAAGTGGTCTTATGGAAATTGTAGAGCTTTTCACGCTGCATCTTATGGCATATTTTGGTTATTAATATAATGTATTAGTGGACTAAAAAAACTAACTGGTCTGACTCATTGTGAGCTAGTACAACGAGCAGACATGTTAAAGAAAAAAGTCTTATGAAAAATTTATTATCATCATATTAGTTAAAGTATGATCAAATAGCATAGAAAAATAGAGCTTTCTTTTCTCTATCAGACTGTATAGAAAAAAAATTATCGAACCCTCCTTTGAAGGATTATTATACCTCCGCAACTACTTTTGGACTGACCTAAGTATATTTGAGCCTTCACACATTATTTGATTGTTGTAGAATTTGTAATGAATTAAGAATGTTCCTGTTC